ATGTGCTGAAGAGACATTAATGTAAATTGATACATATTTCCCTACACACAGATTCAATGCAATGTAGAAAAGATGGCTTACTAGTAAACAATAAGGTGTTTTTTAAAGTATTTTAAAAATTATAGTCAATTATTTATTAACATCATGGACAAATTAATAATTTCAGGTAAAATTTTCAAAAGTGCTTGAGACTTAGAAGCCTAAGTCCCATTTTCAAAAGTGACTGAGGCATGTCAGAGTTTAAGTTTCATTAAAAGGGACAGACTCTAAGTCACATGAAAATGATATCCTCCATTTATAAAGTGTCCCCCATCACCATCTTCAAATGTGTTCTAAGCCTTTTGCAGCATATAAACACGATTAAGAAACCCAAATATATAGACAAAGAGAAGAGGGAAGGAGAGAATAGAGGTTATACCTAACCCCGTTTACAATAGCAACTGACTCTCAAAAGAGCCTACAATATCTATTAGTTAATACTTATAAAACACTTAGAATGTGCAAAGCACTACATAACTGCCGACTATTATTTTTTCCTACCTCTCAAACAAAAACCAGGTGATGTAATCTAACTGAATATTTTATGGGCTTCAACCTTACTCAAAGTGATCAGTTCTCAATAAATCTTGAAAAACTGGTCCAGTCTCTGTAACAATGCTGAAATTGGAGGAGGAGAGGGTTGCATGAGGGGGTATTTGGATATTTCCTTCTTTCAATGATACAACCAGCAGACCAAATTCAGTGATGAATCCTAGTCATATGCCACCTGAGGCACATTGCGCATACACTAAGAACACCAGTGCAGGGGAAAATGTGACTGATAACTACAGCTGGTTGAAAATTTTCAAACAGAAATCGATAGATTTCTTTGAAATGTTACAAAAAGCTTTGAAGCATTTCATGTTGATATATAACAGAAAAATCTAAATGCAGCACTTCTACAAGGTTGTTCAATAGTTCTAAAATAATTTTGGGGGGAATTTCCATTTTTAAAGAAATTTGAAAATTTCAACTTTTCATTCTGATTTGGGACAAAAAGAAATTGTAAATGCCGGTCTGTCCTGTGGAATGGAAATTCTAAGTTTCAACCAGCCGTACGGATAAAAGTTACCAGCTGCAGTTCAGTTTCCTAGAGTAGTTGGATTTTAATGGTTTAACCCTGTCCTCAACCTATCTATTCATTCCAGAGTTTACCAGAATGCCTCATGTACAATTAAATGGGAGAGTTATTGAAGAAAAATCTGTAGGACATCTTGTGTCAGGAGAGACCTGTGTTTTATTATTAACTCACCGACTGACTCACATTATGAACTTGAGTAAATCACTTAACTGGTTTGTGTTGTAGTTTCCTGTTCTGCAAGATTGATACAAGACCTGTTTATATTTGTGAAGCACTTTGAGCCCCCATGACAAGAGATTCAATACAAGCATAAAGTACTGTTTTGATTTTTAAAAGAATCCTTGATGGCACAGCAACAAAAATGTTTAACAAAAATAGTTCTGGTTATGGAATTTATTAGGAAACAGTGAAGTATCCCACTTGAATAATCATTGTTAGCTGTCCCTCACCATTCAATTTTTTAAAAACTTGTGCTATGGCCTAATTAATATTTCATGTTTGAGTAAGTATCACACACATTTTCTACAACGTGGCAATAAACATTGCTACATTCTGTAGTAAGGAGGCAAAATATTTCAAATATTGTGAAAACCAAATAAAACAATACTGCACTATTTTTAAAAAATAAGGAATTATAATACAGTTGTTGTCACCACAGATGTTCTGCAACAATTAAGTTAGCTGTCAATTCCATCCTGTTAATGAGCCAAGCCTTCCTTTCTCTTCTTAGTAGAATCACGTCTTAATCACATTTTCTTCAACGCTGTGGAGAACAGTTCTGTCCCATCTACACTAGCAGTTAAATCATGTTCAACAGTGTTCAAGGGTACCCTTTGCTAACAACTCTTATCAGCAAGAGGCAATTTTCTGGTGTAGATAAGGCACTAGAGTCCCATAGCCAGGGTTTTTGGTGCTTTGCTTTAGAAAGCAAACACCACAAAGGAATTGGTGATTTGGGTAACCTTCAGTTTCAATAAAGCCCTAGTGTAGTGAAAGTACCCTAGTGAAGTTCTATCAAAGGTTTGTGTCTGAGCAATTGCCAAATAATTAAGGCACACGCGTAGGTAAGTACTGAAAAAAAGTTTATTTTGGCTAATGACTATAGACAGTGGTAATTGCTGACATTTATTGTATATCTTTATTTATACCTTATAATTGAAGAACACAGACTTTACGTGACTTTAGTCATCAAGCTGAGCACTTAACTAGTCTATATAAACATGCGTTTATCACTATTACCCTTATTCTTCCTCACCCAATCATTTATTTTGTCACATCCTCTTGTTGTATCTTCTTTTACATCAGATTGCTAGCTCTTTTGGAGAAGAACTGTGTCTTCCTCTACGTCTGTACAGAGCCAGTACAATAGAGCCCCAAACCTGATTAGGTTCCACACTGCTACTATAATACAAATATTTTTATATTAGTTTAATATTGGCATTCTTTGTTAACATTACTTACTGTATTTATTGTAGCTATCCTTTGTTTTGGGTTATGAATCCTAACATAAATAGAGCTCCTCTTTTTTGTTATGCTTTTGGAGGGCTGTTTGTAAACAAAGGGTACAGAAAAGGAATAAATAGCTTACACTTCTTTGGCCAACTCTTAAGAGTCCACTCTGTCCTGAAAACTAATGAATTGAGTGGCCGGGGCAGTGTAGAGAGAAAATTTCCCCAAACCAACAGATACAGATATTGTACAATACCTATAGAAGACTATCATGACACACACTATTTGGCACAGAAGATAATTAAGTAACTCTAGTAATTAAGTGGCATTTCAGCAGTACCCACACATTTTCAATGTTAACGTGACATAAGGAACCTCCAAAACATACATAAATGAAGGTTGTAATTCCACCTCCGAGTTCCAGTGATATTGACAAGGTAGTAGAGCTGCACTCTTGTGGCTTATGTCGTCACCAGAACCCATTAATGCAATTACAGTCTCATTATGTACAGTTGGGGGTACATTATTCCTCAAACAGTCCCTAAATACTGTTACATGATTGACTGCAACATTTCTTCTACCAAAGTCAACGCTTGTGCACTTTTAGGAGGAATTCTGTTAATCTCTCTGATTTTTTATGCTCCTAGTTGGGGGACGGGGTGGAGGGAGAGAAGAGAACTACAAAACTATAACATTAACCATGAAATTTGAAATGAAAAATCAAATACATTGTAATAGTTAGCTACAGAGCCAATAAAGTCTGCCGTTCTCATCAGGAATATCACTAGATTTAAGTCTATTCCTTACTTATTCACCCTCCGCTCCAAAATACACAACTATATTTGCAGTAATCTTGACAAGTTAACATAATCTTAATGTTCCCAAGGAATATATGCCAAAATATGGTACACTTTGAAGGTTTTTACATTCCTTTGACTGATAGAGTTTTGCATTGCTAGCTATAGTATCTTTTTATTTCGAAAATAACAGGAATGCTGGAACACATTCATCCTGACAAAGTATAAATAAACTTCCTATAGCTCAATAAATGGATGTTTGAAAAAGAACAGGAAAAAATAAAATTGCCTGGAATACAATACCTATCTCATAAATGCTTTACATATCATTGTATTGAAGCTGAAGAGAGAAAAGGCAGCATTCACATAAAGCATTTCTTAAAAATGCCTGCCCAGCACCTTAAAAAGAAACAAGAATTTTACACCCCCAATGTGTCATGAGATAATATAACCCACCCACCCAGCGAGAAGCAGGTGCATGCTACATATTCCCCTTGCAAGTTTCTTTTAAACATCCTCTCTGTTTTGCATAACAACATTTTTAAAACATGTTCACTATGCACACAACAAAACACAGCCCTTCAAAGAAGCAAACAAAGCAACAAAAATCGCACCTCTACATACCAAGTACCACCCTGTTTATACACCCCATGTATTGCGGAATCTGCTCCTAATCCAAAACCGTGCTACGTCCCGTAGCATAAAACACTTTGTCTGTCACTTCCCACCCCTAATTATTCGAAGCCCATTCATCTGAATGTTTTTGATGTCCCCAGAACATTGTGGATAAAAACAAGGTTGCACTGTACATATTAAAAACTTTAGTTCTTTGCCCCTCACCAAATGCTTTGACAGGACTAAGGACCTTTCAGGCTGGATTCCAAATCAAATATTAAGCGGGTGGTTTGAAATGTATTACAAATTGGAAGAGGCCTAAAGGGAAAGGGTGTAAAAAGCTGCTTTCTCCACACTAGCCTCCCCCTTCCCCTTTCCTGGTGGCTTCTTACTGAGACAATCAGAGCAGCAGCGGAGAAAGGCTGTACATTAGAGACACAGGGCGGATGGCTAAAAAGCCCTCTGATGCCTGAAGAAAGGGGAATATACAAAATAAATAAAGAGAGAGAGAGAGAGAAAATGAAAAGAATAGGGAGCTAGAATCACCTCCAAGGGATGGCAGGGGAGAAAAGAAAGGACCCAAGCCACCTCTGACCCTTTTCCTTCCCTTCCTAAATATAATCCTCCGCTTCCCACCATACACACCGCACAAAATGACCATTAATTCAAGTCCATCCTTGAAAGAGACGAGGGGGGGGATTATCTCTGCTTGTGCCTGTCTGATTCTCTCTCTCTCTCTCTCCTTCTGGGCGAGCACCACGACTGCATTAAAAATAGAGCGAGAATTGTGATGCTTTCTGGTGGGTGCCAAATGTGGACGCGGGGAGAAGGAGCCCGGCTGGGAGGGGAAGGGGAGAAGAAAGGGAAGGAGGAGAAGGGGAGCCCGAGAGAAGAAGGAGGGAGGAAGGATGAGGGGAAGGGAGCCGGGCTAAGGGGGAAGGAAAAGGGGGATGAAGGGAAGGAGCCCGGGGATGGAGGGATGGGGGAAGGAAAGGGAGGATGCTTTGCCCTGGCCTCACCTCAGCTCGGTGGGTGGGGATGGGCGAGCCCCTCGCCTCCTGCTCCTCCCCAGCAGCCGCGATGGTCACTAACGGGCCAGGGGTGCGGTGCGGCTCCCCTCACCCAGCGCCGGGTCCCCGCCTCCTGCTCTCGCCCCGTCCCCGCCTCCTGCTGCCCGAGCCGCGCTCGCTGGGCTCTCAGGGAGCCGGGAGCCGCCGCCGCCGCTGGAATCCGAGCAGCCGCCGCTAGGGGAGGAGGGAGCGCGCCTGCGCCGCCGCCCGGGCTGCGAGACGGGAGGAGGCAGCGGGGCCGCCCGGCGGCTCCAGTGCCCGCGGAGGGGGCGTCCGGTCCCGGCCCGGCTACCTGAGAGCGGCGCGGGGCTCCGGCCGCCTCAGTGCGCAGGTGCGGTGAGTATGGAAACCGCGTTACCAAGGGGCGGGCGCGGGGGGGCCCGCAACAGAGCGGCGGGGAAACGGGGCCGAGGGGGCAGCCTGGGGCGGGCAGGGCCGGCTGCTGGGCACGGGGGTCACAGAGCAGAGCCAGGAGCTGGGCACGGAGGGAGCCCGGGGCAGGGCTGGCTGCTGGGCACGGGTGGAGCACAGTGTGGGACGGGGCATTGCTGGGTATGGGGGGCACAGTGGGACGGGGCAGTAGCTGGGTATGGGGGGCACAGTGTGTGGAAGTAGCTAGGCGGGGGAGGGGGTCAGTGTGAGGCAGGGTTGGCGGCTGGGCACTGGGGAGCACTGTGGTGCAGGGCCAGCGATGGGGCAAAAGGGCACTGTGCAAGGCAGGGGTAGGGCCAGCAGTTGGGCAGTGTGGGGCAGAGCCAGCAAGAGCTGGACATGGGGGGTTGGGGGCAATGTAGGCCAGGGCCAGAAGCTAAGCATGGAGGAAGCCTAGTGCGGGGCAAGGACAGCCATTGGGGGGGGCACAATGCGGGGCAGGGGCAACAGCTGAACACAGGGGGGCACAGTGCGAGGAGTGGCCAGAAGCAGGGCATGAGGGCACAGGGTGGCGTAGGGGCAGCAGCTGGACACGGGGAGGGGGG